TTGTCTCATTCTATCTATTTCAGATTTCTCTGAATAAGGAATGTATTAGTAGTCTACAAACTGATTTGATTCCCAAGACATCCACATATTTATTAGCTTATCATAGTATGTATTGGACATGTTGTTGCCAAGCATCACAACCAGAAACTAACACCATGTAAGTAGACTTTATCTGTTTCTTGCTGATATGAAGTTATTTCAGGAATAATTATGGTCAAAAAGTCACTAACTATACATCAAAATGTTGAGGTATTCAATAATTCCACATTTCAAGACATTTGTGACATGGATGTTTGAATCCAAGGTTTGGTGTTCAATTTGATGGTAAATCTTTTTGGCCAAACATTCTGTTTGATTCTGACATTTTTAATGCCGTGATCAGGGATATCCGGTTTTGAATCTCCTTTTACTTACACTATTATATCATTTTTGTATATAGTGAATCAAGTTTACGTCAGTTTACGGCCTTGGAGATCACCGAATCATCAGCCATCAGTGGAGCTCAGTACTCAGATTCATCTAGTGGTTCATTGGTGGAGTTATTTTTACATGGAATTGGTGGTACACAGTTACGGTGTGCTTTAGCTACGTCTGGACATATTGGTCAAGAAAGCAATGAGACATGGAATGGCGTTATACTGCCCTCTATTGGTGTATTAGCCAGACTTGTGTATCCTTATAATGATGTGTTTGTGCTTGAAATTTGTATTCATGAAATTAAAAAAATTATATATTTATTACTAATGCAGTGTTTCAAATTGGTGGTATTACAATGATATTACAAGTATGTAGGTAATCAAAAAATTACCTACTTCAAATAAAATACCGGAGAAAAAAGTAATGTATATAAATGTAGTTTAAAAATTGTTTTCTAGTGTTTTGGGGGATCACCTACATTTTTTCTTACAATGCTACATATTGTTACATTGTTCCTGTGTATATTTATTCTTAATTTTGTCAATAGCTGGCCAATCAGTAGCAGTTTTCTATTCTGTGAGTTCTTACTTGGAAAATGTCAATTTCCACAATTGCAGGTAAGAACTGTAGTGATTATCAATTCATAACTTATTTTCCCAATGAGTCCCTTCTTTCTAGTCACTATGATATTGTACTTCTTATGTGTTACTTACCATGTATCATATGTACTGATCTTTGTATCACTGAGCAATTTTGTTTACAATGTACAATATAGATGACACATGAATCATATAATTCCCAACCATAATGCCTTCTAACATAGAGTAGTTTGTGATTTTTGTGAGTTAAAAAAGAAAGATAGATATTTCACTGAGTCAACACATTTTCAAGCAACGTTTTGCATTTGCCTTGTCAAGCATCGGGGAGAGTTCAATAGTTGGGTGTCCCCCTTTAGTCAGTTTAAGATTTTTAATAAGACTAATGTATGTATAGTTTAAATCAATAAATTGCTTTATTTTCTTAATTTGATATATTTTAATAGTCAATTAGACATTGCAATAACACACTAGTAAAATCCTGATGAAATGTGATATTATAGCCACCATGGGTGGAAGTATTTGATCTTTAGTAGAAGCACCCACTTACTTATCACTGACATTCATTACCAGGAATATATCCGGTTGTTGAATGGTTGGTGTGATTGGAATGCTTCATCACGGCAGTTTATTCTGGGGCAGTGTTATTTGAACAGTGATGAACCCTACAAAGCTGTTGATTGTTTCCAACTTGCTGCACATGGTGTAGCAAATGAGGAATTTCTTCTGGATAAACTGATCCAAACAGATGATGGTGACACCAGGGCTTTGCAGATCATTTACTATTTAAAGGTAGGTTTATTATTGGATAATATGTATAACAGGGGTTGTGTTAAAACTCTGTATTCTGCTTCTCAGGCCCCAAACAGCTGTTATGTTTCAGTGTAAGACCCACTCTTACTGTCAGCATCTTGTACATTTTATGTGGCTATGCATGACTAAAACTTTTAAAAAATTACACACTATTTTGCTTTATCAATGTTAGTGGAATGGTATTTATTTACATAATCATAAAGGATTCTATTCAGGTGTATGAATCCAGACATTAACACATGACATTGAAATGTTGGCTTTAGTGATCTCCTATATTAGGATACTTATTCTGACTGTAGTGAAATAACTGAATTGTCTATACCTGTTTGGCATAATTCTACCCATGTTTATGCAGTACAGTTAATTTCAATTACCATTACAGGTGTTACGATTGTTGGAGCAGTTCAATGTGCCTAATTTGGTGATCTCATTGGCTAAGACCGCTCTCAGTATGGCTGACAGTAAAAACCGTAATATTGTAAGTATCAAGCATTCAATTGTAACATCAATTATAGCTACATTCTGATTTCTTGTCTACCCATGACAACTGAATAATAACATTTTGAATTACTTTGAAAGAATTGTTGAAAAAAAAAAGAGTTTTTTGATGAAAGTAAGTATTGAGAGTGATCACTCTGCACATCATTTTCATTATGTTCAAGTTTCATTTATTACCCATAGACATAAAAACTGTATTTCTTGTTTGTTTGGGGACATATGTGAGAAGTTCTGTTCAGGTCAATTTTATGAAATTGTTCCCTACCATTCTTGCCTATTACATGTGTCATATTTGTTCTGTTAGATGAACTTCTATAATGTATTATAAACCCAAAATTGTATTTGTTGTATACTGAATTATTAAATATCATTAAAATTATGATGTAGTTCAATCATAGAAACACCTCTATATTGTACATGTATTAGTCCATCTGTTACTAATAAAACAAATACAGTATATGATTTACAAAAATGAATTACTTTCAGAAGTTACCAACAAATGAATCGCCAATTAAACCATTGCATCGCTCAATTTTCAATATCATTGATGTCAGGTTCCAAATGTCACTCTAATGCTAACCAATCTTTGCCCTAACTGATTCTAAATTCTTTAGCAATGTTTTATAATTCAATCCACATGTAACCTTCCAAAATCTGTAATTCCAAATATAAACACAGCAGATCAACAAACAAGTTCACACTTCTTTTATATTGAATTAAAGTCAATGCGTGAAATCCACACATAGCTTTCATTTTATTTGACCATGGAACTATAAACCCCAGGAAGAACAACGAAACTAAGAGGATTAAAAAAACCTTTGTCTTAGTTTATCTTACAGTGCTTTCGCTTTTGTTTCCACGACATTAGTCATACTCCATGTTAGTTGCCGCCGATACGCCCGTTTCAACCGCTTTGCTGGAAACGGAAAACTTGAAAAAAAAATTTCATATCTGCGCAGTAAAATATTTCGTTCACTACGCATGCGCAAACAAGTCGGTCCGCAGGGTGACCTTCAGTGTACCGGAAATCATGCAACGGGTCGGAGTTTTAGCGAGTTTTCATAATTTTTAATGTCGTTTTTAGATTACTTCTTGTTTTTTTCAACCCTCGAAAAAATAAGGTTGCGAAAGTTTGCGAAACATGGGGTTTGGTGAGCTGTTTGTTGTTGAGATATCCCGACTAATTCCGTGTTTCCCTTCGATCGCCAGAAGTGGCAATGTGTTTTTTTTTCCCGTTGAATGTCGATCATTTATCAGTGTTTTTGTCTTGGCGCCATTGTTTTTTTATGCTATAACCGGAACAACTCGGTCACGTGATCTCCCGGAGTCGTCCGATTGACTCCGAAAATGACCGATAGTCGGAGATAAACGTTCATTTGCGTAAATCGGCTTATTTTTTAATGTGACAAAATAAACAGTCAAAATAAACATTCGACATCGCGGCAACTATCATAGTTCAAAGGAAACGAAGTGGTTGTTCTTCCTGGGGTTTATAGTTCCATGATTTGACAGACAGCGTACAGATATCATATTTGCTTTATTAGAAGTACATCTTCAGTACACAGTCCCTCTATCCTATGTCATCTGTATAAGTGCATGTGCTTATAGAAATAATATGCTATTTAAAATGAAGTTTAACTAACAATTTGTAAGCATTATATACATTTTTGTGAACTAGGTTACTTATGATGTAATAATTGTAGATTACAGAGTGATATATTTTAATTGTAACAAATACTCAAAGTACTAATTGTTCATTTCAGCCAACGCTGTGGTCCAAAATTTTCAAGCACCATCTGGAATTAGGACACAATCAAGAAGCATATGTTGCCATGACAGCCAATCCTGACCCAGTCAGGTAAGATTTGGTTATGTATAAAACAATTTTAGAATCTTTTGTTTTAATGTCATGACCATTTAATGTTATATTATATAATCATCCAATTGTAAAATTTGTCTTTCTCTGCCTGGTTTAATAGTTTCTTGATAATTTTTTTCAGACGAAAAGATTGTCTTCGTCAGTTTATAGTTGTATTATTTGAAAGATGTCAGCTTCAACAGCTGTGTGAATTCCCTTATATAGACCTTGAAGATGAGGTGAGGCTCTTTCAGTTAGTTTTACTACAACATTACAAATAAAATATTGGTGCTAGGGAGCAATGCACAAGACCTTATTGGTTTGGGGTTGTAATCTGTACAATTAAAATGTATTCTTTTTGTTTTAATTAAAGAAATTCCTGTGAGTATTTTAAAACTAAATACTGTGGATCACATTGTGCCTTTCAGATGGCAGATTATATTAGTCTGCAGGCTTCTTAAATTTTGAATTAATTTTAAATATTTCCTATTTTTACTTCATGTGCCTCCAATGCTCTCAGTACACAGGAGTGGAGTTCTTTCTAAGCTTTCTTTGATTATTTTTAGGTTGTAAGCATTGTTGAATCCAGAGCTAGATCAGTAGATCTAATGTTACAGAATTATTATGAATTTCTATATGCATTCCATGTGTACAGGGGCAACTATAGGAAAGGTAATATAAACAATTATGTGTGTATTTGAGGATTATCTTATGAATCAACAGTCAAGTCAATTCAAGGGCTGCAAAACCATCACACAATTCAAATGTTGGAAAACCATCACTCAATTCAAAGGTTGGAAAACCATCACTCAATTCAAAGGTTGGGAAACCATTTCTGACATGGGTTATTGCATGGATAGATTTCTGATTTTTGTATTTGTATGCCAGCTGGCAGTGTGATGTACGAGTATGGTCTACGTGCTGGACGAGAGGTGCCAGGAATACAAGGATTACAAAAACAAGCCAAGTGTTATTTATCAGCCATCAATTCATTGCACCTGGTGGATCCTAATTATGCGTGGATTGTTAAACCAATCAGCTTAGAGCAGGTAAGTTCAAAACCATTGCATTGTGGGAGTTGTTAAACCAATCATCATAGAACAGGTTCAATTAAACACTGCATTGTGGGATTTGTTAAACTAGTTAGATCAGTCTGAAAGCAGACATCAGGCATTCTTAAACATACAGTCAATGCAATTCAATTGATCTTTTCACCGACATACAAGAATTTCTCATTTTTTTATTTTTATTTATGGATAAAATCAAGGGTCAATGTGATTAGAGGGCCAAAAGTTGTTATCACAAACCCAATTCTAATGTGCCTTGTATGCATAATTAACTTATAATTTGGTCTCTGTCGGTCCGTGCGTCCGTCCGGAGTCATATCTCAGAATCCCTTGGGCCGATTCCGTTCATTCTTTGCATGTGCCTAGTACTTTATGTGGGACATATGCACATGCAGTGGTTTAGCGATTCGATTCAAAATGGCCGACTGGCTGCCATCTTGTTTTTTGAAAATGTCGTATTTTGGACATGCTTTGTCAGTTTTCATTCAAATTTAGTACATAGATCATACATGTTAGGATACATGTCCCCGACCGTCCGTGAGTTCCTGAGGAAGTCTGTCCGACCGTTCGTGTGTCCGTCTGTTCGTGCGTCAGTCTATCCAACGTCATATTTCAGAATCCTGTGGACCGATTCCGTTCATTCTTTGCATGTGCCTAGTACCTTATGTGGGACATATGCACATGCAGTGATTTAGCGATTCGATTCAAAATGGCCGACTGGCAGCCATCTTGTTTTTTGAAAATGTTGTATTTTGGACATGCTTTGTCAGTTGTCATTCAAACTTGGTACATAGATTATACATGTTAGGATACATGTCCATGACGATATATTTCGCAATTGGATCAAAGATGGTCGACTG